GTATATTATATGATAAAATCACTGAATTCCCTCGTTGTCAACATGCTGTAATTGTATTTTGATGATTTACAGAGACTTGCAAAAGCTATTGAAGAAGAAAGATACATTACAGCTGAACAATTATTTCATTTTTATATAAGTGCATGTCCACAACAAGGAAGTCGAACAATTTGTATCGAAGAAACTATTCATATAAGTCTTTCTTATTTAAGAGAAAAGTTGCTTACAGCACCAATAAATTAATATATTACTTTTTGAGTTGAATGATTGAAATAAAGAAAAAAGAAAAAGAAAATCTTATGAAAACGATAATTGATGATTATTAGAACTCAATAGTTTTAGAAGGTTAATATTTTTTTTGGGTGTTTTAGATAACAATTATGGAAGCCATCATTTTTTCTTTTGTAAACTTAATAGGAAAACTCATTGTAGAGATCGACTTAGTTCTTCATGCTCTACAAAATAGCATATTGATTATGTTTATTGATGAGTTCGTGCAGGATGAGACATGCGTCATTAATAAAAATGACAATATTCTTGTTTATATTGTTCTTTAAATCATAGATAAATAACCACAAATAATACTGTAATAATCATAATCTTTGTTTATAATGGTTTGAGTTTAGCTCATCATTATCATCCAAGTATGTTAAACTCTGATAAATAGCCGTGTTTCATTGACACTTTTTGTTTTACAAAAAAAAGTTCTTCATAATAAAGAAAAGTAGTAATGAAAGTTTTCTGGTTGAACAAACAGTACACCTTCACTATTTAGATTTTTCAATTTAGTGCAATTGAGACGTGCTGCATCATTGGTAAAATTGATTCTTACTATTGCGAGTAATTCTTATTTTATGGGTGGCGTGTGAGTGTGGTGTGCATTTCAGTGTGATTGAGAGTTCTCTTTTCATTCGTACATCCACCGATCCAAACTTTAATTTTTTTTCACTTTATTTGCCTGTCATTGAGCTTGAATTTGTTTAGGAGAAATATTTCTTCGTTATTGGTGTGTTAGATGTTCTTCGATTTGTCTAGCTCACCAGATTATTCTTCATCATTTGGAAAATATAAATCTCTTTCCATGTTGTTCAAAGTCAACCATAGTTAAATACCATGTCATCAATCATTATGCCTATGATTCATCTTATTGTGATTCATTTGTCTTGAAATTCTTCATATATTAGTCTTAGAAGGATGGAATCGATTTCAACGAATGCCATTAGTGAAGAAATGATCACGGGAGAGACGATGAGCATTCTTGCATGATGTATCAACATTCTACGAGATGTCATAGTCAACTGCAGAAAAAAAACTGAACATTCTATTTTGTTTAATTCAATCTAATAGATCTCATTGCTCTTGACAATGCATTGCATAGCTGGACAAACAATCTTAATCAAAGAGAGAAAATAAGGATTCAAGCGAAGAGTAATATCTAATAATAACAAGACAGAATTGATAAGTTACATTGACATCACTTGCCAGTTGTCTTTTGACAACATTTTTTCTTTCTTCTTGTTAATTTCGTTACTCGTGAGACGAGAACTATTCCATTTAGTATATCTAGAAAAGAACAACAACGAATCATTATTGGAATTATTACTTTTCCTGTTCTTCACAAATATAAGTTATTTGACAACAGACAATCTACTTTGTACAACATGGGAATTTTAAAAGGTAAAGATACGGCTTTAGAACATATTGAAAAGTCAAAATTGGCTTTTCTGGCAACATTATGCAAAATGGAAAAAGACCTATCAACAAATACAATGCCACCCAAAGATCATTTCATTCTCAATTTTGATCGAAATTCGATTCGAAATTTGAAAGGACGTGTCTACGAAACTATGAAACAATATTCTTATGAACAACTAGGTTCGTTATTTTTTATTGTTTGAACATGATCTCATTTGAAATTCTATTGACAGGTGAAGGTATTCCTTCAGTTTTCAATGCCAAGGGAGCTGAAAGTGGTCTCATTAATCCAACTAAACCACCAATACCAATTGTCGGCCGTCAATATGTTGCTTGTATTTATGATGATTTCAAACTAATCGATTGTTTAATTGAAATCGATCGAACTGAAGTGGACAATTTAGTTAAGATCGCCAATGCTCGACGCAAATCAGTCATCTAATCATTGATTTTCTGCTTCATTTTCTCTGACTACTTTGTTTCTTTTAGTGCTTTCTTCAATTGCTTTTGCTTTTTATATTTATTAAGTAAACAAAAATAATGAGACCAAGAGCAATGAATTCTACAAAAGGTAATTAACATTCGATTGTATGGAACATTGACATGTTGTTATGTTAGTCGTCATCATCATCACTCGTGTTATTTTTGTTTCTTGTTGATTAGCACTAGACATTTTCATTTCAAAGCTGCGTGTATATACGGGTACAATATTTACTCCTTCAAAATCTAGAATTCAATTAGATGCATGTAAATGACGCGAACGCTTGGAAGACAAGAAATCCTAATTCACACTGTCACATCGAAAGAGAGAGAATATCACAAAGTGAGTGTGTTACGTGATCTTGACGCACTGAAGATCTTAGGACATACGAGATCTTGATATCATCAATTTAGAGTACATGATTACATCAGCACATGGAACTCTAGAACTGTGCACTCTGAAGGGGTACAAATAAGTTTTACAGTATATATGTTAGTACATGAATTCTAGATTCTGGAGGGATACATATTGAGAATTGTATAATGAGGGTGTGAGTGTAGTGTATGACATTAGGAGTCGATCTACTCTTAACACATGGCTATATCTAGTCTTCAAATAAGTCAGATTTCGGACGCATGTCTAATCAATGCCATATCAGAATAATCAATGACCATCAAATAGAAAGGTCTCATTTTCGTTCGTTAGACTATATATACAATGATGCAAATCTGTAACTATGTATTTGACTATTGTCTTGATGATTATCACTTTGAGAACACTGTCCAGTTGAATGTTCAAACTTATGTATCGCTGTCTTTCTTTTTGTATTTATTTGTTCCTGACTAATCTAGATGTTATCGATAGAAAAATTGAACTAGACACGATGGGATATTTGGAAGTTTTTCTATGACAATGTCCAAACGTAATCAAAATTTGTGCACTGATGCCTATGCAATGAATATGTTTTTACAAAAGGAGAAATCAATTATTATCAACACAGCGCGCACGTGTTGAACTACTCTTGATCCTTGGCAAATCTCAAATATAGAAAGACATAGATCGAAAGACACATCTTCGTATTTGTTCTAAATATAATGAACAAGAAGATATTAACTCAATAGTACAAATAATTTTCTATTGTTTTTCTATCAAAAAGAGAGAGAATTTTTTCAAAGTATAATGTGATTGATAGAGTTTTTAAATAGCAAGACTTGTTCAAGGCAGCAATTTTTGACAAATATCAAAAATGAAGTTTCTCTGTCAGTAACTGTCAACCTTTTCTATTTCATGCAGACACTATCGCGCTCATTAACACACTAACGCCAATTAGGACAACAACAAAAAAGCGACGAAACGAACCAGAATATAATGGTGGAAAAGCAATCAATATTATATTTTGCTATATTTGACCATAGTTCGAAATGCTCTAAATAAAAAAAGTGAATATTTTTCTAGGAGCCCACAATCACATAGCAATTGACCGCTAGAGTCATCTTAAGCAAAATCTCCTTGAGTTCTGGTTTAAAAATGAATTTTCTATATACTGGAACGTAGAAACCGGTACTGCTATTGTTTGGGCTGAGTGCAGTTCAGATCTGGAAGTATGAAACACTTTCTATTGTAGAGTAATTACTTTTCCACTCCAACATCCAACATTGTGAGAGGAATCAAACATGCATTTCATTCAACTTTTCTTTTTCATTCACTTCAAGCTGATTTCGAAACATTTTTAGTTAGAATTTATCAATTATTTATTCAATTCTATTCAGAGAAATGAAATTAATCCTTAACTAGATACTCGATATCATCAAATTAATCGTTTGGATTGATTTCATACATGATCTTTAGTCGATATTTAACTTTTATGGTAATCAACAATCCACAAGTTCTCTTGATGATCATATATCACATGGGTAA